ACACGCCCCTGGCCACTGTGGCATGTCTGGGATGTGCACAAGACCCAAACTGGCCTTCATAGGACTGAATGGAAGGACTCGGTTCTCTGATGAGGCGGAGGCTCTCCTCTTGTCCTGCTGGAAGTAGGTGGCCTGAATTTTAAAAAGATGCGTTATTTTATAATCTCAGGAAATTAGGCTTTAGAATGAATCTGACATTATAGATTGCATAATTGTTTTATCATGTCACCAATCAAATCTCATTCCCATGCTTTCCTGGGACTGCCAATTCAGAAAACAAACAAACGACTTGTAACAAATCAAGGTTTCTATTATTTGGAGCTGAAATAATTTCTTACTGCTTGAATTGGGAAAAAGGAACCCGGAGAACAAAGCTGACTGTTCCCTGGAGCCCAGGACAGGAACAGGTTGGTACAGAGACAGGATGCTTGTACCTGCTAATAGAAGAGTAGGAAAACCATGCACCATCCGTCCCCACACCCACCTTTCACTGGCTTGCTAAGCTGCTTTCTTGGGTGTTTTTTTGTTGTTGTTGTTTATGTTTGTGCATATGTGTGCGTTTTAGTTTACAACTCAAATTAGTTCATATCTGATGGTATTTTAGAGAAGATGAGCTTTTTTTTTTTTAGTTTTTTTAAATCTTCTTTTCTCTATTCCTTAGCTTCTCTCTGGTATTACACCAGGCCACTTGTTCAATTATGCCTTCCTCATTGGGTTAGAGGTATATGTCAGATTATTTAACCTATTTCTCCATATTTCTTATTTTAGAATATAAAACTGTACATGTCAGAACCATATCTATCATGTTTCTTAGATATGAGAAGAATTCAGACTTGCAATTCTCTTCTGGCAATTGTTCTCATATCCTCTCTAGTAGGAAGAGAAATCTTTATCAATTTTGATTCTTCTAGGAACCTTTGTGCTAGCAAAAACTGATTTGATATCATGGGACTGTTTTGGAAATAGAGTAGTATTCCTATATCAAAAGAGATGCACAGCATTATTAATTCAGAGCTTGTAGCCGTTTCAAACATAACAAATATGTGCTAGAACATGAGTGGTTACCTTTTAATATATTCTAGGGAAGCAAAAGATAACCCTTTCCAATTTCTTTCTAACCCCATAACAATGACAAGAAAGATTATGGGAATTTTTAGTGTAGTTTTTGTTAAGCCTGATGAGATGTTTTAAGGTTTAGAATGACTAAGTAATTAGTGATATCAAGTGCAATAATAAAACTTATAAGTTATCTAATAGGAAATTAATATACTCTAACATTTGAAAGATTCTGGTAAATGTAGTGAAAACATTGAAAGTAGAGGTGGGGGTAACTTCTGAAGGGAGCCAGGACCAAATGTGTCCTTGATAGTCTGCAAAATTTTCAGAGAGAGTGAACATGCGGTACATGTGTTGGGCCCAGGAAGGGGAGGTGAGACAGAGTGGTCTGGTGTTTTCTGAAGCCAGCGCCACCTGGAAGGGGACAGAATTAGCGTGGAACTCAAAGCAGTAGGAAAAATAATTAACCACAAAATTTAGGGGAGGAGTCGAAGAAAATTGCAACCTGCATTTGCATCCCAGTTTTTTATGATGCGGCGTGCCGAGAGATAGCAATAACTAACATTTTTTAATTATTACGTGCCAGACATTGATTTA